TCACCCGGACAGCCAAGATCATGCACGTTTTTAAATTTGTCCTAAAGTACGAAAACATTATAAAAATGAGCTTTGGCTATTTTACTTGGGAAATTCACCAGATGAACTCTTTAAAGCAGGTAAACGTAGTTTTGAGATCAAAAATCGAGTTGTAGGATAAAAGAGCGCGTGCGTATGGAGTATGCGTTTGGAGTAGGATAAAAGAGCTCATTCTTTCTGGTATTTGACAACGGAAGATCTTAGAAGAAAGAAGAGCAAGTTGGAAGACTTTAGAAGTAAAATATGTCTAATATCTATATCTATAATATATCTATATATAAAATATATAGGAGATGGAATAATGGTGATACTTACAGAATTAGTTCCTTTTTTTAAAAAAACAGTTCGAAGTCGGAATCGATATTTTGAGTAATTTCTCGAATAATTTTAAGATCGTTTTCGAAGGAAGACGGAAATATGTGAAAAAGATAGTTATGTACGACTATTACCAGGGTAGGGAAACTTGGCGGTCAAAACGGGGTAATGATTTTTGCGCCATCTACAACGTTCCACGTGAGCCGAACTAAACGTGTGACGTCATGCAATTCAAAAAGCTGGCATGTTAGCGGCTGTTTGTTTTTCGTTACGTGCAGGCTGCAAGCAGGTAGGTGCTCATTTTTATCGATTTTTCTCCGTTTTGGTTAGTATGTAGAATGTCGTGCAATTGTAAGTAAAGTGAATTATGTCGCGATATTTTATTTGTCATGTCTAAAAAGTTTGTTTTCAGTATTTTGGCAGATGATATTAAGAAAACTGGTGCTAGACAAGTACATTGTTAGGATGTTCACCCTACAGCAGTGAGGTATTTATAATTCATTTTGGAATCTTGTTGCATATTAGTAATGATTATTTAATTTGTGAACATTTACACCATGCAAAATAGTCTTAAAAATCCGTAAATCCATGTAGTATAACCTAACCTGTAATGTCATTTATTCTGTGCTATTTGTTTAAAGTATTGTAGTTATATTATTTCGTATGGTATGGACACGTTTTGTAATATGTTCATTGTATATCCATATATTCATTGTTTGAATACCCTGGTATTCAAAATTCTCAATTTTCAAATATACATAATTCATTATTGTTTGCATTTCTAGAATAGGTACACTCTCATTAATGTATGATGAAAATGTAATTAAGTTTATTTGCTTAGGTGTACGAGTTACGTTTCCATTCTGGAGGTGATCTTCGAGTTGCAGTATGATAACTGGCAAATACAAAATGAATTCGACATACACTAACATTAGAAGATGGATTGTATCAACAGTGTTTCCTCAAGCCCAGCCTGTTTCTTCTCAAAGAACATTTCAAGAAATTTATTACAAAGTGTGCCAGTGAAATCTTTTTTTCCCTTGATGCTGTCAAGTGCTGCTAGTCTCGATATTATAGACAAATATATTATTTCAGCAATATATATTTCAGATAAATAATTGCATGTTTAGAAAAACTTTCCTAAAAGCACTGGAAATATTAAAAATAATCAAAACAATGTTGAATGTGAACAATTAAAAAACTTTCGTTTTCGAATGTGTAATAAAAAACTGTGTGTAATAAATAATATTACCTAAATATGTAACGTTTATTTTAAATAAATAAGATAGGTATAATACTTTTTTGTGATATTTCACATACTTCAGTGCTAAGAAAGGTTAATATATTATAAATGATTTTTAATTAAATGTACCAAATATGAATTGCTAAATGAACATCCTGAACAATAAATCCTGTAATAATATTATTGATAATTATAGTAAAAATCTCATCCCAATTTTTCTACTTATACCGTCAAAAATTCTGTCATTCGTAACAATTCAGTATTATTCTGGCCCATTGTAGGTTTCAATGAGGAATAGTTTGTGTGTGGACTTTGTGGAAATATTGTCATAATGTGCAGTAAACCAATCAGGTAGCCATAGAAAATAAAAAAAATCTTGTATTGCTGCCTAACAGAAGAAATCTGTGCAGTATTTATTTTAAAGTTAAGATTGCCTAAAACTAGGAACTACTGCTAGACTGCTAGAAACTGGCCAAATTAAAATTGTTATGATCTTCACAAATTTTCATTTCATAACATTTTTTTTGTAAACATGCAAATTCCCTCTTAATCCAGAACACTAAGCATGTTTACCGGTATTTATTACTAACTACAAGACGAATCAATTTGCCAAACATAAAACTAGATATAATTTATAAATTTGTTTCATTTCTTGGTTTTGAAAGACTTACCAAAATAACAATGATTGATATTGTATCAAAATTACAATTCTTATTTTCGGCTATAAAGTCACACAAAAATTAAGGCTGGTATGGATTTTCAATACTGATTTATAACAATGATAACTTTTTAAAAATCATTGATTTAAGTTATTTTTTCAAATATTACAAATTATTAAGTACAGAGATGAAGGACTTAAACTCCAATTACATCGTTTAATACAACGAATATCATATTTCTTTAAACTTTTTCACAAAATTTGAAGAATTCGAGAAAAAAATACAATGTAATCTACATTATGAGCCTTGCTTAATGAAAGAACAATAAACACCTTTGTAGTAGTTATTTTACTAACGGACTTGGATGATATATTAGTTTTTCATCTTAGCACTTTCATTGCTGTAGATAATAGGCAATTTGGAACAATACAACACCGAGCTTGTTTCAGGAAAAACCACGATTAAATCTTCAAAGCATATTTTAATTTAGATTGGAGTAAACATGTTTGCTAATGCCACAAAGTATTAAATCTTAGAAGATAACATTAATTAAAATTGGAATTTATTATATTCACGTAGAAAAAAAATTATATTGTCAAAAACTAATAAAACGGAATTTAATCTTACTAATTTTAATAATGGTTAACCTTTTTCCATTTTTGTTGTTTGTGTTGGTTTTTATTATATCTTTTTTATTTTTTTTTAATTTTTTTTTCTCTTTATTAATATTGGTAAAATTTACCATTAGTGGAAGGACAGGACAACTATAAATAGAATTTAATAATTTCAAAACTGTCTATTGTGGAGTTTTTTGGTGAAATAATTGTTTTTAAAGAGTAGAGATTTTTTTTGATAAAGAAGCTTTTGATCAGACCATGCTGACAGTGTTGCTACAAGCTTATTCCATTAAACGTGAACACATGAGAAGTTGTGAAACTATAAGTACTCACATTTAAAGATTTGTGGTTAGGCAGTATTTGCACAACCCCTTCAAATGCTATAGTATCTATGTGAAAAACACAACTAAAACAAACAATAAGGAAATGTCAAATTTAACACTTTCATTGTTTTCACTTCTGTTCTGCTTTTAAAGTAAATAAGAAAGTAAATCACTTTACAATTTTGTTTTAAGTTAAACATCTAATACAATTTTAAAAAATATTATTTAAATCAAGTTAATCTGAATCATAAGAAAAAGCAGATATACTCTTGAATAATCTCTACACGCGCACAATTAATTCGCCACAACCTTACTTTGAACAAATGCGCACGCCAAAACGCAAACAGCTGCGCTATCTGCACCAGTCCGCGTGAGTGAGGAAACAAACTTAGTCCCCCGCCTTTTAACATTGAGTGAACCGGCCCTGACTATTACTGACCGTTTACCTCGGTCTGTAATAGTAGTATAGCATCTCAGGTTTGGTATCTGTGGAAAAATATATTGAGATGCAAAGTGACGAAAGCATAAACCGACTGTCTGGCTTGCGTATCCTGCAAGTTCCGCCTGTTCCGCCGGGGCTGGCCGCACGCCGTCTGGCCTGGCCGTGCCGCCGCGTCGACAGAGGGCCCACAACAATCGGGTGGGTAAAGCAACGGCACACAAGGGGAAGAGAAGGCGAGGTATTTTCCTAAATTTCACTTTACGACGCTCCTATTCGTCCGATTTGAGTGATTGTCACGGCGTTGGATTTAGGAAGCTCTTCGCCATTGCGCTACAAGCCCACATTTTTTTAATTTTTTTCTCGAAAGTTCGAGATCTAATTTCAAATTCGAAGTTTTGCTAGATTTTTGGAAAAAGGGCTTCATAGCGTAAATTCTATTTTAAAAAGGCGTCAAATGGCGTTTACATATTAAAAATCGGACCATTAGTTCAGACATCAGAAAAGTAAATTTTACTTATTTTAGTGCTGCCACATGGTGGTTACTAATTGTACTAGTGTAGGGACATTTAGCCTTAATACTCATGACTGAAGATGACGAAGGCTGGAAATCAGCCTGATTAAAAGATCTGACCGATAGCTTGCTCCTGGTTTCATCACGAGAAAATGTGGTCTCTGTCGACTCACCCTTATAATAATTGGATTTGCACCCAAACACACAGCAGTTGCGGGACATATTGCAATAATTCCCAAATAAGGCTGTTATTGTTCTTTAATAAACATCAGAAACGATTAACCATATGAATTCACAATAACAGCACAACTAAACACCACTCAAAACGTCCACGCTTCCACTACTTCGGTGGCCATATTATAAAGCGATTTTAATAACAATGAGCCAAAGTGACAGTTCGCTAAATAAGTGAACATCACGTGTAAATCATAGAAGTATCCTTCCGCCGCGGCAGCTGCTCAGCCACGCCTCTTTGTGACGTGTTGGTTTATGCCGGCTCCCGGGAAGACATACAGCAGGCTAAGAGTAGATATTGAAATTCAATTACGTCTGTGGAAAAATGTCTTAACATGCTCTCTTATTCAGTAAAAGAATACTGCCACGAATATAAATAGAAAGAAAAGATATTTCACGGGACGTTCCAATAGTGGATAGCACTGGGCGTTTCACAGCGAATGGCTCATGCACTTTTGTAGTGAAGAGGTCGATTATTCATAATTAATACACCCCGATTATAATAACAACACTTAGTACTATGCTCTCATATCTCGACTTGACTGTGTCCACTCCAGAGATTATATAACCCACTCTCTAGCGGTCATGATACGAACCGCGAGCTCGCACTTCCTTGTGTCGACATCTGTCAACGATGGGTGTAGTCCTTACCAGTGTTTTATATGTGGTAATTTGTAAATTCGGCGACGGTCAGTGCAACCAACAGTAGCACGTGCGAAGACGGGACTATTTGTATGTCAATTTAGTAAGTTGAATATTGAGTGCAAATATAGATTCTCGTGACTTATTGCTCAGCTTGTCTTATCGCGACGACCGTCATAGCAGGCGCGTGGACTTTCGCCGAAGTGGATAGATCTGGGGTAGATGTGTATCAAAGAGAATAGTGTGCATAGTGGCACAACTCGTGTGGGACACACAGACACTTGTTCACACGTCAACATCTTGTACTTCAGTGAGGTGATGTGAGGGAATGGTTATGTGTTCCAGTGATTTGATTCTTCGTACTACGATTAAATAAGTTGATTGCGAAACGGCTTTGGTTTGTGGTTATGTGAAGGGAGCGTTGGACCAGAATGCATTTTTCTATTCCTGAGACGGAAGAATTTAGTGATGATAATGGAGCAAATTATATGGTAGGTGCAATTTGTTCAACTAAATCCATAATGGTTAATAGATTTGGTGTGAAATGGCATCACTGGTTGGCTCTTTCTGCTTTAGAAGACTGAAAAGTAGAACTTTTCTGCCAGTGTACATTAATGTGGCTTCATAAAGAATAGTTCTGTCATTGAAAGGCAATGAAACAAGAACTTCATTTTGATATCAGATTGACCCAACATTTAATATATTACTTGTCACTTACTCAAAACTCGCAAAAAAAGCTAAAAAGTCTAATTTCAGGGGTACAACATTCATGTCAATGGAGTGTTCCACTGTACAGTTCGGTACAAGCAACTTCACAATCTTCATGAACAGTTGAAGAAAGAATTTGGTGCCAATAACTTACCAGTCTTCCCACCGAAGAAACTTCTTCCATTATCTTCATCACAACTGGAAGAAAGAAGGGCACATTTGGAGAAGTACATTCAGTCAAGTGGGTTTCATTTTGATTATTTGTTATTTTGTAAATTTTATTTGTTTATTGTTCCTGAGGAACCTTTCAATTCATTATTTTATTTGTGATCTTTTATTGTAATTTTTAAACCTATAGTCATTATTGTTATTAATATTCTTTGCATTCTTTCTCTGGAAATTTATACAGATTTCAGAGATAAATTTATTATTAATGTCAGAATTTTCAATTCAATGATTAAGCAGTACAATGTTTATTCATATTTCTTACATAAATCATTGTACTTGCATAATTTTTCTGAAATGAATAAAACTAGAATTCTAATCCCAATTTTATGCCTTTATTAAACAAAATGAATAAATAAATAAATAAATAAATAAATAAACAATACATTTTGTAACCAAAATATTCATATTTTTATCATCACATCTTTCTTGATATGGGTTTAAAATTCACCAATATCATCAACTTTAAAAATCCTAGCCCTGTTGTGTGACTATTAGTTCATAATCTTAAAATTGACTGCCAACTAATAATTTGAAAATTGAATTTTGTTTCCTTCCAGTTGGTCAGAATCCACAATTGGTCAGTTCTGATCTTTTTAATGGTTTCTTGCTCTCAGCACAACAAGAAACATGCTGTGAAACAAACCAAGAGGTGCCACTAGAAGTGTTCTTAATGAATGGATTTCAAATATCTTTGAAAGTGCTCACAACAGAAAGATCTGATCAAGTGTTGGAGGTAGTATGTAGGCCATTTTGTGATTTATTGTTTGAAATATTTGATTTGGTTTCTACTTATACATTTGTTTTTCAGAAAGTGTGCCAGCAAATTAACTTGGCAAGTAAATATGTGTACTACTTTTCATTATTCCTGATTAAACGAGAGGATGATGGAGACATAACTGGTGTGTCATTGTGATTTAAAATAGTTTACTTTATACAGTGCGATTGCAAAATTAAATATTTTCTGAGCTTTTTTTTTTAAAATATTTATTATTTCAGTGCTCAGAAAATTGCAAGATTTTGAATCTCCATACATATCACAAAAGTCCATCCAGGGAGTGCATCGTGTTGTTCTCAGAAAAAGGTGTAACTTTTTGATTGTTTTATTTCATATTATGAATTTTTAAATCTTATAGTAATAATGATATTGTAATACTCTTTTTTTCTCAGTTATTGGGACCCCAGTTATGATCTTGAACTCTTGCAAGATAAAGTGGCCCTAAATCTCCTGTATGTGCAGACTGTGGCTGATGTTGAACGAGGTTGGGTCTTGATTGGCACTGACACCCAACAACAGCTGGCATCTTTGCAATCTCGTGGAGCAAAACGGGAATACTTAGAGTTAGCACGAACATTGAAATATTATGGCTTCCTTCAGTTTCGACCGTGTGTGTGTGATTATCCACGTCCAGGATCTCGTGTACTGGTTAGTGCTGGAAATCGGGAATTAAATCTAAGAGTTCGCTTGACGGATAGCTCTGCTGTACGTGAAGGCAGTTTTAAGGTCACACGAATGCGATGTTGGAGAATAACAACACTCCACAATGTAAGAACCTGTATTGAACTGACTGATCCCTTTTACTATTACCAGTCTGAAAAAAATATCAAGTCTAATGGCATATGTTAAAAATTGTTGGTTTAAAAATGCATTCATAAAGATAAGAATTTATATTTTAAAATCAGATATATCATTTTTATTGAAGTATTGATTAAATCATTATTCTTCATAGACACAGTATTTATATAATTATGAATTTTCAGAATGGAGATGCAAGTGCTTCTGGCTGCAGTAGTAAAACACAACCAAAACCAAAGTTAGAGTTATCTTTTGAGTATCTCATGTCAAAGGATAGATTGCAGTGGATTACAATTGCCAGTGAGCAAGCTATTCTCATGTCAGTATGCCTTCAAGCAATGGTAGATGAACTATTGCTCAAAAAAACTGGCACTCCTAGGAAACAAGTATGTAATATTTATAGAATGTTTTGGTATTTTTGACATTTTGACGTTTCCTGTCACAATTTTCATTTGTATCAGCAAGCGCAGAATTAATGATATTCTAAAGGCTGCTATTATTTTTAAAATAAATAATTACTGAGGCATGTAGAATTTAAGATTTGAAATAGTAAATAATTTTGCATTCAAATAAAGCCAGGGGAATAAATTATACAAGGGTATTAAGTATGTAATACTTTTATCAGTACTTATGAATAATATGATTGTATGGTGCAAATTAATAATAGTAATCATCATCATCATCATCATCATGATGTTAAGGCCGCTTTTTATTGTTCTATAGCCAGGAGATCGAGCTCGTAAAGGAAGTTGGTCGTATATGAAAAGAGATGGAAGTAGCCAATTGATCAGCCACTCTAAATCTGTAGACAGCATTTCTTCAAATAGTGACAGTGCGGTCAGTTTCACTCCTTGTGATTTTCTTCTGTTCCCAACTATTTTATTATTAGTTATACATAATTATTTTTAATTCAGCACCAACAACTATTTCATTGTTGATGTCAAGTTTAATGTTAATTTTGACTTTCTTTCAACAGAACGGTGAAGTCAAATTTACTCCTAAGACTGAATCAACAACATCAATGAGGAAACTTTCTGAGAAGCTATCATCTGTAACTTTAAAGTCTTCCAATAAACCAACTCCAGAACCATTTGTTGAGAATGATGCATTTGAAGGAATTGGGGATGATGACCTTTGAAAGTGATGCAAATTCTATTGCTCCTTTTCTGTGGATGAAGCCTAATATTTTAGGAACACCAAAGGAATATAAAATAATGTTATTTCATAATTATGTTAAATAAGGTTATTCAAGGAACCATAAAACACATTTTCTCACTGACTTCCAAGTGAGGTTGATGGAATAAATAACTGCAGAATGTCAGTGCTTACATTGGTTCCTGCATGAGATTTGGGAGCAAACAACTGATATTACAATTTTGACAGAATAATGATGTGTTTGGTTAGCAGGATATGTCATAGTGCCAAATGATACATTCCCCTGCGAGGATATGCTGAATTTTTTCTGTATGGATTCCTCATGAAGTAATAATGTTCAATACATTTTTGGAAGCCTTTTTTGTACAACTGCTCATGAATTGTAGATTTGCATGATATTTTGTCATCCATTTGGCTTAGTCTTTTTATTTGTATTTTGCTGTTGCATTTATGAATATCTGTGCACGAATTGGGGACAACTTATGAATTAAAGTTTTGATGATTTTATGCAAGTTTATTAATACTTATATTATAAAATAATTTGCATGAGGAGTGAACAGCAATGTTTTAAAATGACGAGTGAGCTTAAATTCTGATGAAATGTCTTCAGATATTACTGTGATATTTGCAGCTCTTGACATTGGACCTTAAAATATTTTCTTGAATATTTTCTTCAGACAGCTTTGAAACATATTCCATTTATGTGCCATTTGTTATCATCCCATTTGATTTATTTATTACTGTGGTTGAGTACCGAACTTAACTACATATTACTTAACTGAAGTTCTGCTTATTCTAATTAAGTGCTATTAGAAATGTTGGGATAGTCCCTTTGTGGATATGAAGACCAAGATCCTATGTACTGCTTGAATTATTCACCATAGCCACTGCGATCATGCTTCAACTGCATAAATTCCAAGAATGACCTAGTTCTTATTGTGAATTGGCCTTCAAGAATCCGTGGAGTAAAAAATCTTCATGCACTGTGAACCTTATAACAAAAGTCAATCTCCTTGTGTAGCAACCAATTGCTCTCTATTAATCCTTTCATGAGCTAAATCATGATAATATTTGCATTTTCTTCAGTTTTCCTTTTCATTGTTAAAATGTCCCTCAATTCGTGCTAAGCTTAATTTTTACAGATCCATGTGTAAAAGAAGAATCTGATTTCATTCCTCTAGAATATAAAAAATATCTTGTTGACATATCTTGTTACTTTATTAAAGAGCCATTTACAAGTGCCAATTTGTCAATGTGAATTTAGAAACATTTTATTATGATGGGGAACAATTGCACATCTGTTCTCTCTTTCTGCGCATTAAATGCCATTCAGAAAAATGTTTCTAGAGTTTATTGGTTTGCTCATTACTTTTTAATGTACTCAACATATAAAATACTCATTGTTATTTCTCAATAATTTTATGAGGAACATGAAGACACAGGGTACTGCTCCTCTCTTTCCTCAGGAAGCTCAGAGAATGTGATAAGTTTTCTGTGCCAGATTTTCAGTAATTGTTTCATTTAAATTTTTGTTGTACTAAATAATCCCATTTTCAGTTCTTTTTCAATATTTTGAAAATGATTCCAAAACAAAGTTTTATTCACTTCAATAATTTATTAATAATGCTTTTGTTTTCTTACATAGGGCAGAAGATACAAAATGCCTGTATTTGCTGCTGCGGAAATAATTACCTTGGACTTGAAAATCTGGCATTCAATAAATTTCATTGACATTAGACTCGCTTTTCTGTTGGTAAATCTGGAACATCCCATTTCATAAGAGTGTATTTGATGTGGTAAATTGTGATATGTACGAAATTAACATATTTTGAGTAGAAAATGAGAGAAATTTTATAGTTCATGTCAAGAAAACTTTTGCATGTATATTTAACATAATGAAATATCAAATTACATTATAACATTTGTTTGATTCTGAAGGCTGTTTTGATACACGTTTCAGTATTCAAACATCGGTTCATTCAATATTTTTAAGCAATAATTGTACTAATCTTCATTATAAACTTGTTACGTGTTGCAATTTTTTAAAGTGTTTAAAGGACTTTTGTTTGTATTTGAGTGTATTTTTTATTCTAACTGGATCATTGTTTTATACATAATGTAGTGGTATTTTTTAACACCAGCACATCAAGAATTTTAAATTTCATCGTTACTTCATTTTATTTCCAGATCCTTCCTTAATCCATCAGCAGAGAGGTTACAAGAGCCCTATATTATTGTCTTACAAATTGATTTTAGGTTTTCTAATAGTAAAGCAGGTGATTATCTATTTGTAGTATGTAATACCCAAAGCAAAATTATTTTTAAGCAAATTAATTTTATCATTCTCATGAAAAGGAATATTACTAGAAAGAAACATGGCTTTGTTCTTGACAAACCAGAAGTTATTAAAACGTATCATAGAAAATTACATGATTTTTTTTAAGAATTAACATAAATATTGAAAGAAAGTTCCCATTTTCTCAAAAAGAACGTTACACAATTCTCCTCTTAAGTGACTGATGCATCTAACAAAGGCAACATTGAAATTTTGGTATGACAGCAAAATTAAAATTGATTGAATACTATAAAAATGAAAATTATTTTAAAATTCTTGTGGAATTCGGTTATCATTCTACATGATTGTTCTGCAAGAAAGCGCACCACAATTCGAAATGAGCTTGTAAACAACCGAGGGCCAGTTTCACCAACAGCCGAGTAAAGTTGAGAGTAGTTACCCGAGAGTAACCATTTACTGTAACTCGAGTAGAATATGAGCGTTTCACCATGCTTCTAGAGGGTTATTTTACTCTAGAGTACATACTCTCCGATTTACTCCGCAAATCAGCTGAACACACAATATTTCAGAGCGATTCAAGAGGCTGTGTGCGAGAATGACTGGGAACCAACGTGAACCTTTGATTAATTCCTTATATTCTATCATTCATTTCAGTTTCGAAGTTTTTGGCGTTATAATCTGGTGTGGTGTTATGGAGGTTTGAGTTGGCATAGTTAATTTCCTAGTTTCTGTATCTTTATTTCTTAATAAATATTCATTCTTCTTCTCTGGAGACGAGTTACTACTTTGTTAGCAATACAGAAAAATCAAATTTGAAGTTCTTTTACCGATGGCAATGCAAATTAATTTTCTATTACTAGGGAACGAAAATGTTTTATTTTTTCAAATGTTGCTGATCTCGCGATTTTCTAAATATTATTATTATTATTATATGTTTTATTTTTTAAACTTGTATTCAACTTTGAATATTTATAGTTAAAATGTTGGAAAGGGATTCTGGAACTCAAGAAAACGTGCGCAAATCCCCCATACGTCACATACACTTTTTACTAAATAATTCTAAGTACTTGTAGTCCCTGTAGTTTTCCTTTTGTTATTGTATACGGTACGTAATACCTTTATTTCGTATCCACATGGGTGAAAAATAAATGTACAAGTTCTCTACAAGTATCTCTACAATGTATCTGATGAAGCTGATTTTGGTCAAACATTACCTCATGACAAAATCTCGATCGTCATAATTAAAATCAAACCATTCTCTCTCACCCTTTGTCTTCGCACTAGTGGATAATATTCCGAATCTTCGCTGGAATCGTCTTCAAATACTATCATTCGTAATCGTCGAGCCGTAACAACACTTCGGGGGTACATGCACGTTGAAAACTGAATTTACTCCGTACTTTACCCGACGGATTTTCGAAGTGTAAAGTTACTCTTGAATTTACTCTCGTGTAAGCGGTTTACACTCGAGTAAAGTGTTGGTGAAACGCTCCAAGAAGTTACTCTCGAGTAAACATGATTTACTTTGGTGAAACCGGCCCCGAGCTGCCTGTCGTTTCACACCCGTATTTCGCGTATTTCCACCATGCCACAGCCTTCCACGCTCTTTTAAGTCCACCTCATTTTCTAATACCCAATACGGCCGACTCTAGACTATACTGAAGTTTTTATTTCTTTGCGCGGTATGACCTGTCTTCTTGATGGAATCTTCAGTATTTTGCGTCTCGGTCATGTCGCACGATCGCGACCATATCGATCGAGCAGTACTGGCGATCACGCGACATTAGCGGAACGACCGAGAAAGATGCGAAATGTCTTGAGATATTCCATCGCGAAGACAGGCCCTCAAGCGCCAAAAAATAAAAACCTAAGTATAGTAGAACTGAAAATGATTTTAACGTGTATTTGTTACCAAGACTAGAAAAAATATGTATAAGTAATAAAATACAAATGATTTGAAAATGAAAAAAATGTCTAAAAAGGTATTTACGTCATAAACAACAAAAAAAGGCAAAATAAAAATTCATCAAAATAATTAATTTTCCATAATTTATGTACATAAATTAATAGCTTTCATTAGAATAAAATAGCCAGTTTCCTAAACATCTGATGTCTAGTAATGACTGTTGTATATCAAATATTATAATGCGAGTTAATGTTGACCGTAATGCATTTTATTTTATCGGACTTGGAAATGTTAGTGGATATCACCTAAGCACTAATGGTTAGGATCGAAAGAAGTTAACAAACATATTGGCCAGATTTAATTTAAAGGACAAACTTCTTATTGTAGTGTATAAATAAAATATAAAAATAGTGTGGCGCATGGTGTGTAATGATGATTAATTATTTATTATAAATCTATAATTTGAACACTTGCTAATCACGATTGATTAGCTACAATGAAACTGTTATCATACAAAAGTGTTGCCGCGAAAGCTTGTAGTAGTTCGTATTTGGCCCAATAAATAGTAATGCTATGAATTTCAATAGATATATAGATTAACAGATAATAGCCTGTAAGAAGATAAACGAAATAATTGTTATTTCGCGGAACAGTTAAGCGCACATCCCCAGTATGTTATAGAAATTTTATATTAAGGTGACCAGTTTTTTTACAATTAAAAGGACGAAAAAATTCCAGAAACTAGTGGTGCTTGATCAGCAGATATTTGCATACAATATTACAATGTTATCGTTATGTACGACGGGGCGCCCATATACGCTTCATTAATTTGAAACAGAAATTACACGAAAACTCCTAACATAAAAAATGCACATGCCCTTTTTCAAAGGGCAAAATTGGTATAACAGACTGTATGCAGTAAAAATTTCTGTTTTCAATTTTAGTTGTGATTTGGAATTCTGGTTTGCAGTTTTCGAAAAAAATCGAGCAATACCCGAAAGTGGGACCATCTTTTTTACCGTTTCTTATTACATAAGTGTAAAAAATTTAAAGAAAAGAATTAGGGTGTTTTTTTGAGAAAAAAATCGTTAATTTCAAGCTCAAATTACGCAAAAACTACTTTTCTGAAAAAAATGTCCGTGACCTTTTTTAAAGAGCTGAGGCAAAAATCTCTGTCTTCAATTTTGTATATTAGTTGTTTTTTTTGCATTTTTTTAAAAAAAGAAGCAATACCGAAAATGGGACTAGCATAATATTTTTACCGCCCCTTATTAAATAGATGTAGAAAATTTAAAGAAAAAGATCTGGAGCCGTTTATGAGAAAAACAATTACATTTTTAAGGGCAAACGACGCGAAAACTACTCTATTTTAAAAAACAATGTACATTATCTTTTTTAAAGAGCAAAATTTTGTAAAACATACATGGTCTCTATCTTCAATTTTGTAGTTTAAACATTTTTCGCAATTTTCGAAAAAGCAGGCATTTAAACGAAAATGAGACCTACACCATTCTCTTAAGGCTAAATGCACCGAAAAATACTTGTAGGAAACTTCATAAAATCGCGCACGATCAACGGGGAATTTACTTTACTGAAACGAATGAACAATGGTCCGATTTTCGATCTGTAAACGGCATTTGACGCTTTATTAAAATAGAATTCACGCTACGATGCCCTTTTTTCCAAAAATCTAGCAAAAATTCAAATTTGAAATTAGTTCTTGAACCTCGAGAAAAAATAAAAAATGTGGCTTATAGCGCGATGGCGACATTATGCTGTGAATCCAACGCCGTGGCAATCATGCAAATCGAATGATAGAAGCTGTTAAACTGAAATTTACGAAAACGCCTCGCCCCCCCCTCCCCTTCTGCGCCTTGCGTCACCCACGATTGTTGTTGGCCCTCTTCACGCGGGGCACGACCAGGCAGGCCAGGCGGCGTGCGCCAGCTTCGCGGAGCAGGCGGACTACAACTGGCTGCAATAGAAACGTGCTTTGTCGCAGATTCCTTCTCTTCTTTGGCAGATCGATGACTCACCTATTTTGGAGCAAAAATATGGCTTGCAGAATCTGTGAATGCCAAAATTGGGGAGGATAAAGAACTAGATAATAAAGAGCTCGTGTATACTCCGCTCATTCTTTCCGTATGTGACAACGGAAATTTAGATTAGAGTGAGGTGGAAGAAAACGGAAACCTTAGAAGTAAAATATATCTAAAATAAGATTGAAAGATGACTAATGGTATATTTACAGAACTAGTTCAATTGTTTAAAAACAGTTCCAAATAGAATCGATATTGAGTAATTCTCAAACAATTTTAATATGGTATTCAAAGGAGACGGAAATATGTGAAAAAGATAGTTAATTGTACTACTATTACAGACCGTTCACGTCGTCTGAAATATCAGTATAGCATCTCTAGTTTGGTATCTGTGGAAAAGTAAGATTGAAGCAAAGGACGAAAGCATAAACCGACTGTCTGGCTCACGTATCCGCAAGTCCCGCCTGCTCCGCCGAAGCTGCGCACGCCGCCTGCCTGGCTGTCGTGCCCGCGCGCCGACAGAGGGCCAACAACAATCGGGTGGGTGACGCAACGGCGCAGAAGGGAGGGGGGGCGAGGCTTTCGAAATTCACTTTACGACGCTTCTATTCATTCGATTGCATGATTCCACGCGTGGATCAGCAAGCATGTCGCCATCAGCTATAAGCCCACATTTTTTAATTTTTTCTCGGAAGTTCGAGAACTAATTTCAATTTGAATTTTTGCTAGATTTTTGGAAAAGAGCATCGTAGCGTGAATTCTATTTTAATAAAGCGTCAAATGCCGTTTACAATCGAAAATCGAACCATTGGTTCAGACTTATCAGCTAAAGTAAATTTACTTATTTTGGTGCTGCGACGTGGTGGCCACAAATTGTACTAGTGTCGGTACATTTAGCCTTAAACATCCTTCTCAATATTCAACAACAAAATTTAATAAAAAATTTGCAGCCATTTTTTAAAAAATGTCCGGGAGTATTCATGTAACGTACCCCCAAAATGAAAACATCAGTTTCATATTCCAGAGGCCGTGACATCAGTCACAATGATTGATGAATATAAATTTTGGAGAAAATCGGCTGAACAGTTTATGCGCTAACGTTGTGCACAGTTAGTCTGAAGTCACTGACAGTTTTGCAGTGATTTAATTTTTCGGTGTCGCTCGTCGCGGTGTCGGAAGGTCACCCAAAACATGAATTCTGGCTACACCACGTGTTAGAGAAATTTGTTTCTATTAGTAATTAGTAACTGGATTTATCCACTTTTTCGTTACTGGGGCCCGGCAATAGGAGTTTTTGTGTCGAAAATTCGCCGTTTTCCAGAGCACGATTACAATACTTTCTTTTTTCGTAAGTGTGAGAAAGTAAAGAGAACAACATAAAAAAATGATACATTTTATTAATTTAAACAAAAACACACTAATTATGCTTATATCAATTTTAATAATTTAATTAAACGAGCATTTTTTCCCATTGAATGGATATTT